GAAAATTGTGCATAACGTCCAATATTTTAAACAGTTCATACATCAAAGATTTAGGGGAGAAGAACAGATTGATACTTTAATTTGTGACAGTTCTATTATTGATGTTCCTGTTGATTTTAATGTGAGGCAAAATGCTGCTGATAAGATTGAAAGTATCATCGGTAAAAAATAAAATTTATCTTGTGAATGGGAATTGTGGTCTTCAATCTTATTAGCTACTAAAATTTGGTATAATTTTTAACTGCTTTTAACTGCGAAATTGTGTCTGTCCCACATTTTATTCAAACAACTTGAAAATTTTGTTCTAGACACTTTAATTTATTATATTAGTAAACAATAGATGAAATTACTAATTTTAGTAAAAACTTTTATATACACTTGAAAATAAATAGATATTTTTATCACATTTAAAAAAAACAATTACAACTATACAGTGTGTTATAATATATCATTATAATAACATAAGGCATTTCGTTATTTTAAAAAATGAGGGATATTCTTAAATACATTGATAAAATAAATTAATGAGAATTGATTTAAATATTTATTTGAATTTATTATAATTTTTTATTTATTTATGAAAAACATGTTTGATATAAATATATACTATTGATATTAAACATAAAATTTGATATACTTTGATATACTTGTTTGATGATTACTTGTAACAATTTAAGTAGTTTAAAATTGTATAAAAAAGTACCTCAAAATGCTATTTGATACATAATAAAAAATATCTTCGTAATTTAATACTAATGTTAATAACAAATTATTAAAAGTCTCAACTGTATAAAAAAAAACGAATATTGACTGACTAATTGATTTAATATGATAAATTAATTAAGAAATGCTTAAATATTGAATTATTCATTTTATCCATACATTCTTTTCAATATTTACAATTTTGTATTTACAAGTATTTATTCTTATATATTGTATAAGAAATAGTCAAAGATGAAATAAAATATCCAAATATATTGAAAATATAAACTGAAATGTTTCTAACAAATTTGTAATTAAAATTTTGATTTTAGGAATTATTCAAACATGAAAATAGTTATTAGCATGGATACTTTTGGAATGGAAGATTTGCTATTTGAAATAGCCTGTCGAGGATACCCTGTATACACTGGGTGTTCCAGAAATGCTTTTTTGAGAATCCAAAATGCTGATTCATATTTTACAACTTCTAGAGATGCTGTTTTAAGAGTTGTCAATAAAGCATTTTGTGTGAACATCGATGATTGTCACAGGTAATAGAAATATGAATAATATTATATATATATATATATGTATGTATGTATGTGGGTGGTCCTTAATATGGACAATTTCGAATTTCTTTTCTCCCAAGGGCTCAAATGCTTCTAAATTAATTTTAACAAAATCTTTCGTCATGTTTTTGTTCCAAAAGTTGAAATCGTTATATGCATTATGTTACAGAGTTTTATAAGCTTTTTAATGATATAAAGCAAAATTTATGTGCTGTAACAAGTTTTTCCAAGCATTTGAGTTATACGAGTTCAAAGTTTGACGACTTTCTCCGTCAGTTTTTTGTTCCAAAGTTGAAAATCGTTATATGCAGTTATGTAGAGAATTTTATAAGCTTTTCATACATGTAAAATAAAATGTATGCGCTTGAACAAGTTTTTGCACAATTTAAATAAATGTCGAAAAAGGTGCTTGCAAATCAATTCTTGTCGATTAAGCTGAACCACCATACTGGAATTTATAATAAATTAATACACAAAAGTACTCTTCATTTAGTAATTGTGATACTTACTTTTATATGTTCAATATCTTTTTCGGAAAATTTCTCTCGTGGACCTCCTAAAATGAATATTTTTGCTCTTGTTAAATTTCTCTCGTTCATTTCGTCTTGTTACTGAGGAGATAAATTTCATACATTAATTCGCGAGTATATTAACAAATTTGTAGAATGCTGTTCTGCGACCAATAACAATGCTCGAAAATTGGCTAATTAATTTCGTTTGTTTTCGTTTCCTTTCGTTTCCTTTCGCCCTTTTCGCGTAGGTTATAAATAGGAGTGCGCAAAGGAATACGTGGCAGTCGTCGGCCGCGGCCGGCGCCAGCGTCACCTAGGGTGGCGCTGAAAGCCCCCGGGGCGCCAGACCGGCAGCTCCCTTTGGAGCTGGAGTGGTCAGGAACCCCGGGGCATCCGCCGGAGACTCCCGGCCACGGAGACTTCGCGCCTCGGGGACTCCGTGCCACGGGGCCTTCGTGCCACGGAGATTTATTTATATTTAGGAAAAAAATCAACTTATTTACTTCTGACATTACATGCAAAAGTAAGGAAGTTATAATGTGCAGTGGATCCTCGTTAAGACCATTATGCTTCATATGATTTCTCGCATAATACGCCACTTTACGCCGGTCCTTAGCATTTTGAAACATATTGCCCTTATCCCGCATAATACCCGCCTAAGAAACGTTTTTGTCCCAGTCCCAGAAAATCGTCTAAAACGGGATTTTACTGTATGTTGTATAGTGATTATATGACTAACTGCGAATGAAATTTTTTGCGTATTTTTATGAAATATCGAACTCCATTTGAGGGGCATAGCACGTGTGCTACGTCACGTAGTTTCGTAGTATACAAATAATCGATTTTCCGTCTACGCGAAGTCTAAAGCACGAATGGACCAATTGCAGAGCGCTACGTTTTGGGGGCTCGTCTCACGCCATGTGCACGGCATTATGAATTATATATATATATATATATATATATATAAATAAATACATACATACATACATACATACATACATAATACATTCATACATACAAATACATATATAGGAAAATGTACGTGACAGGACTGTCTATTCTAAAACTTAATGGATCCGCGAAATACGAAAAGTGTAAGTTTTTCATTAATAATCTAATGAAAATTATAAACAGTTATGAAATAAGACAGTTAAATGCCCACATACCGAAAATTTGCGTTGAAAGTAAAAGTGACTTTTAAGCTCGGATTGGTATGAAATATGAAATATGAATCGTTTCGTGTCCGTCACGTCAGGCAGCGTTCGGCAACCTTTTTACTCTTGTTAATAAATATTTAACATCCGCATAAATTAGGTATTAACGATAAACCTGAAAAAAAATATTAATCTTAAAATTAGATATATGAAATAAATAAAATAATTTGATTAATTCAAATTTTACTTTTAATAGGTTCTAATACCCTTAAACTATTGAAACATTATAAATGCAACATCAATTAATACTTGATTATTATGAAAAATATAATA